TCCCTTACGATCTTATCTCCGGCAAGCTATGTGGCAAACAACTAAAGACCATATAAAAGAGTGCTTCTCACCTGTGGTTTCCCTTATGATCTGTCTCCGGCAAGCTTTGTGACAGACAACTAAATATTAAAATAGAAGAGGGCTTCTCATCTGTGGTACCGCAAATTATCTTATTTATGGCAAGCTTTATGGCAGGCAACTAAAGATGATCATATAAATATAGGGCTTCTCACCCGTGGTACTGTAGATGATCTTATCTCTGGGAAGCTTTGTGGCAGACAACTAAAGATGATAATACAAAAGAGGGCTTCTCACCTCTGGTACTGTAGATGATCTTGTTTTCAGAAAGCCTTTGTGGCAGACAACTAAAGATGATCATATAAAAATAGGGCTCCTCACCTGTGGTACTGTAGATGACCTTGTCTCGGGAAAGCTTCGTGGAAAAGAACTAAAGATGATCATATAAAAATGGGGTTCTCACCTGTGATCCCGCAGATGATCTTGTCTCCGGAAAGCCTTTTGACAGATGTCACATGTGTAAGGTCGTTCGTCTGTGTGTGTTCTCACGTGGATTAACAAGTTGTAGGACTTGGTGAAGCGACGCTCACAGTATTTACAGATGAACTCTTTCTTTGGACGGGAGGACACCTGTCTGTCTAACATTGTCCCATCATTCGTCTTTCCAAAAAATCCTGGACGAATTGTTGAGGGATAGATAGGACTGAAAATAAATGGAAATGGATGACCGGAGTCACCAGAAAATGGAAATCGATGACCAGGGTCACCAGAAAAGTTTGATAATGCAACATGGGGGGTGGCTGTTGGCGTTACTGGGGCACCGCTGTTGGAAGTCACGGGTTCTGGCTTATCCTGAAAAGTAACAGATTCAGCGAGGTGTGCAAAGTCAAATCTCTTCGTTTTTTTAGTGGACGTGTTCTGGACATCCAGCATGTTAGCTGTGCGGGGTGGATATGGTGAACAACTCGGAGTATGGCCACAACACCCGGCTGGCAGGAAAGCAGAATACGTCGACCTTGCAACCACGGGTAACGGGAGTGGAGATATCGGTGGTAGGAGAACCGAGTTGGGAGACACGAAACTGGCTAGTGGGTAGGACAACGTGGATTCCGAGTGGCTTGTGGGGGTAAGCGGCGGAGTGGGAAGTAACTGTTCTCCATCGTGTCGGTCAGCTACAAAACAGAACATAATTTCAGCTTCAACAAACCCAACTTGTTATTTCAGAGCAGATTTTGTAAACCTCATCTGCTAGACGTCAGCCACTTACTGCCACCTCATCATCCACTTATACAGAAATCCGGAACTGACCCTGAGGGAGAGGGCGGAGACGCTATATTGCACGCGCTCTGGTCTCCGACATTTAAGATTTCTCATAAGCTTCCCTCGAGTGCCACCTGGTGACAAGATTCTCCTTCATCATAGTAGAGCTATAGTCTTAATCACGCTTGTATTTTGGACAAAAAAACAGAGCTTAAGTAACTTTGGTGAATGGGGTGAAAAGGGGAGAAAAAAAACTTTTGTTAGAGGATCTAAATCTCGGAAGATCTGTAAAGGAAAGTTCCGTTTTCATTTACAATGTTTCCAATACTGTCAGATTACACGTTACGTTTATCTGTTCTGAACCTCTAGTATCTTTCAAAATAGACTTTTAGTTCAAATTACCGAATTCTTATTAAAAGAGAAAATTAAATCAAGTCAAAGCAGTTGTAGGTGCGAGAAAAGTGATTTAGGTAAGCAATATAC